TCCAGGGTTTAACACTAAAAAAACGGCTTTTTGTAGCGATTCAGAAAACCGGAAAAATCAGTTATCCGGAATAGCGATAGTCCCGATCGTTCCGGATAATCGGTTCTCTACTGTATATTGTAAAGCCAGTAAATTTTAAACTAGCTACAGAAACAAAATGTGTATTGAAACAACAAGTTTTAAAACTGTATGAAATAACCACTTAAAAAAAACTATTCTTAAAGCAAATAATTGTTTATTAAAGTTAAAATTCAAACAAAACACAGTAATAATTATTACTTATATTTAGAAAAAATCATATATATTAGATAAAAATCAATGATGCATGTCTAAATTTTTTAGATGTTATTCTTTATGTATGGTAAAAATTATTCCCGAGGTATTATGATGTTATCATTCTGAACTTGTCCAAAAAGTAATTTTCCTTTTGTTTCCTTTTTATATCGCTTTTATTTTTGAGTTTTTAATAAGTTTCTAAATTTCTTTTTCTCAACCTATAGTAAAAGTCTTAAGATTCACTGTGTTCAATTTCTGTAATATTTATGATTAAAAAAATTTTCTCTTGTATATTAATTTTATTTCTATGGTATTTGAAATCAAATCAAATATAGTTTAGTTAATTATATATAAGATTTGAAGTTGGTGATAGAAATATAATGCTAAAAGTTACAAAAGAAAAAAAAAGTAAATTTTAAGCTGATGTAATAACGTCAATTGCAATAAATATTAAGTTCTAAATTGAATCCATATATGTTTATTCTAAAAACAATGACAAAATATTTGTATAAATTTATACACATAAAGTTTTTGAATTTTCGCTATACTTCTGTTGCCAGTTAAGAAAAAACCATTATCTCTATGGAGATATCCTGTTTGCATCTGAGCGCAGGACGAATGGATGCCAAGCTCCCTGCACGAACATATATCACTGTTGCCAACGCTTGAAACGACGTTGCACAACTTCCTTTTCTGCTTTTTTTCTTATTAATAATAGCAGTTATTAACAACAATAATCAATTAACAAGCAATAAAAATTGTATCTGAAAATCCTAAGAAATATTAGGTTTTCTGTTCGCATCTTAAAGAAATTGATGAAGGAATAATAAATATTGTCTCTTGTAGACAATTTTCTTCTACAGCAAAACAATAATAAAATTTCTTCATCCCGCATTTGACTTCTTAGGAGCCTATCAACATAAGAGACGCCATTTTTAGTGGTCTAATCAAATCCAATGCTCTTGCAATGTATATAGTTGTTTCTTTTCCAAGAATGAACGTTCTCCTTATTTATCAAAATATTTCGCCAAGTATAGGATTCCAGTGAGGCTATAAAACTATAGCTTTTTCATAATAATTCTTTGATGTATGTATATTGTAAAAGATAGCATGAATTATATTTCTACCTGATGCATTTAACTTTTAAAAGCTTTTATATTGTTTTAAAACACATTTGTGTAATTTGATAACGAAATAAAACTGGACTATATGCAGTTGCGGATGATTACTTAAATCCTATACCGCAATGGTCTTTTCTTAACTTGCAGCGGAGTATAGTTTTTGAAACTAACACAGTAACTTCCTAATTTTCTTTTGTCTTAGCCTAATCAAGTGGTTGAGAAAGATTGTGAAAAATGTCAGTGTGTTCATGATAATATCCACTGCTATAAAATACCAGGATGTGGGGAAACCATACCACCACAATATTGTAAGGCTCTCATTATTTATTATTTATTTTTTCATATTCTAATAAATTTTCACAAGAATTTTTTCATCTGAAGCGGTATTGGTGCTTGAATATTTTCTGTTCAATTTTTTTTTCACTTTAGGTCTATTTTACTGAAGACATGCGGAGACACTTGCCTAAAATGAGAATTGTTTTTAATTTCTAACTTTATAGAGTATCTGAGGCTGTAACTCAGCACTGTGGATTAGATAGTTTACATTCTTCTTAAAAATACATTGGTTAAAAGATAAAAACTATTTTCTAACACCAAAAGTAAATTACTATTTATAATTCCAATGCAATTTTATTAAACTAAATCCAATTTTTAAATAATTATTTGTCTTAAATTAATTTTTTTTAATGATTTAATTTTCTTCATAATTTCATAACTGTTTAATTAATTACTTGTTATCTTCTGAAAATCCATTATGGTAATTTTTATGAATAAGATAAATTAAACTATATGTAGGCATGCTTGAACTCACATATAGATGTTTCTTCATTTTTTAACATTAGTCATTTATTATAGACAAAGTAAGGATGTATCAAAACATCTTTCTGTTATCAAATTACTCGACAATAATTTCAATTGCTTTGTGCCAAAGTTGAAAGCTAATATAATAACTTTTCATACTAATGTTTTGTAATTTTTCTCTTTGATAAGAGACAGTTATTTTATTGAGGGCCATTAGTTCATAGAATTTTCATTGCACTGTCATAGACTAATGTTACCAGTGCACTTGTTTAACCAGGGTGTGTAGTGTTTTTGAAAAATGCTTAAAGGTGCTTATTTTTGATTTACGTTTTTTAAAAGCCCTTAAAGGTGCTTTTTTATTCAGGGTTTGTCAAAAGTGCTTAATTATCTATCTTTTAAACAGCAATTTTTTCTTTCTTGCCGTTCTAAATTATAAAAAATGCATGATTTTCACTATTTTCTTTGCAATATTTATCAGAAACTATTTATTTTATCATTATTATTTAAAGTTTATGAAAATAGTTTTGAATTGTATTGATTTTATGTTTATAAATTGAGAACTTTAAACGATAGAAAAAATTATTTTATTACTGCACAGATCCTAATTATGATTTTTTTTGGAAAGTGCTTAAAAATATTTTTTTTAGTGCTTAAAAAGTACTGATAAGGTGCTTATTTTTGTTGAAAAATCTGCCTATGCACCCTGTTAACACTGCAGTGCTAATAGTATTATGTCTGCAATATAATACTGTAATAAAACCAACTTAAAAAAGAAATTATTACAAAAGAGTAGTCCTCACATATATATATTTTACTGTTTCTTCTTAAAATATAAAAATAAGTTTTTTTCCTTTTTTTTTTAATGCAGTGATAAGGAATATTACCCAGGAAGATTGCTGGACGGAATGGATTAGTATAGATGAACCGTCATCTGAGGGTGGAGACTTGGAAGCAATGAGCAAACTAAGAAAAAAATTTGAATTTTGTTTCAACCCCATCAAGATAGAATGCAGAACAATTTCAAGTAATTCTTACAAATTATTTATGAGAACAAAAGTTAGCTACACAATGAAGTTTATTTTAGGAACATACAATAGTCATTTTTTTTATATAGTATATGTTTTTTTATTTGTTCTTATGTCCTATTCTTTTGATATACAGTCGGACCTCTATTTAACGAAGTCACTAAATCCTGATAATAAGTTCGTTATATGGAAAATTCATTAAATAGAAAATCACCTTTTAAAATACTTAAGCAACACAACACAGGTTTTAAATTCATAAACACTAGATTTAATTAAAATAGCAATTGATGCACTTTTATCTTGTAAACTAGTATCTACTATTTATTTTATAAATCTTAACCATAAGAGAAATCTGCATGGAAAGCAAGANTTGAGCTGATGTTTCTAATGAAACAACAGCTTAGAAATCATTTTATAATTTTCGTTTTTTCACATTTGTCATTTTTTATGAACAAAGTAAGGCTGTATCAAAACATCTTTCTGTTAACAAATTACTCGACGGTAATTTCATATGCTTTGTGCCAAAGTTGCAAGCTAATCTAATAATTTTTCATCTAATGTCTCGTAATTTTTCTCTTTATTAAGAGGCAGTTATCTTATTTATAGGAAAAAGGGGCATTTGTTCACAGAATTTTAATTGCGCTGTCATAGCCAAATACTATTACCAGTGCCCTTGTTTAACACTGCAGTACTAAAAGTATGATGTATTTCTTTTTACTGTTTCTTCTGAAATTATAAAAAAGTTTCTTTTTCCTTTTTTTTAATGTAGTGATTAGGAATATTACTCAAGAAGATTGCTGGACGGAATGGATTAGTATAGATGAACCCTCATCTGAGGGTGGAGACTTGGAAGCAATGAGCAAACTAAGAAAAAAATTTGAATTTTGTTTTAACCCGATCAAGATAGAATGCAGAACAATTTCAAGTAATTCTTGCAAATTATTTATGAGAACAAAAGTTAGCTACACAATGAAGTTTATTTTGGGAACATACAATAGGCTATTTTTTTCTTTTCGTTTCTATACTTTTGATATGTTTTTTTTTAATGTATTAAAGAGGGCTTTGATTATCCATTGAAATCAAGACTAGACCTACTTTAAATATTCAATTTATTTGGATTATCAAAAAAATTATATGGAGACAACAATCCTTTTATTTTATTTTTCAAGTAGCTCTGAAAATACTGGAGTATAATATTGTACTACATGTAGTATTTTAATGTGACCATTCCTTTTGTAAAGGTATAAATAAATTTTTTTTAAAAAATAATTCACTTGCATCATTGCACTAGGTTGATTAGGTTTATTTAACCTTTTATGTACCAAATTATTAGAAAATTATCAAAAATATGAATATTCGATTATATTTTCAAATTTTTCTTAAAATTGTTTATTTGAGACTTAAACCACAGTATAAAATTTCGATTGGAGTTAAATATTTAGTACTTAATTTTCTAACTGCAGGAAATTTTAATGAATCAATAAAAAAATATGAGAGACTTATTTTCAAAATTCATCGAGATGGAAAATTATGAGTTGAGAAATCAAACTGTCCTCCTCATGCAAAATACCAGCAGTTAAAAAGTTCCACAGATGATATTCAATTTCAAATAATCATGCGTTGCCAACGGGTAATGATAAACAGAAAGTCATATTACAGTGACACACAAATTCTGATGGGATATTTTGTTCCATTTTAAATGTTATATGGAAATCATGAGTTGCAATTAAAAGTCAAGGTTTTCATGTTACGTTAAGTTAATAGATTGATTTATTTATTTGAAAAATGATGCTATTCAAGTAAGATTGTTATTAAATTTATAAATAGAAGAGCTTTACTTGAAAAAAGATATTTTAAGAGGGAACATCAACTTTAAAATGTACAGAAAGCATTAGGAATCTGTTATTTATAAGAATATTCTTTGTTTGATTTTTTTTAATTTCTTTATACAACACAATGATAAGCATGTTGAAATCTTATACTGCAGAAATCTCAGTGTCATATAACATAATCTTCCGCAACTTATTCATAAAATTTTACATAGATCTCAACATATTCTTTCATTTGTCACTTAACATTCTAAGTGTGTCTATTATTAAATAGTGTGTATCTGTATTTTTCTTTTCAATTTCCCTTCAATTTTTTCATGTTTATTAAAAGTATATGCATTTTTAATAGGTAAGCAAAAGCCATATGATGTTGGGCAAATCGTTACTTGCAATTTGGAAAAGGGTCTGTTGTGCTGGAATAATGATAATATGCCTGAAGGATGTTATGATTATGAAATACGCTTCTACTGTCCATGTTGTAAGTGCCAGTGTAGTATTTTCATTCTTTTGAAATAAGTTTAATGCTTTTAAAATGACTAGTATTTTATTAACAGCAAAATAAAATTTTTACCAGTGTTCTCCCTTTGCGGTTTTGGTAGGGCTGCCCACCCCATCTGCCCTTTGATCCCTATAAATGCTCCCTCCTTGCCCTTTTTGTAAAAATTAACCGTCATTCATTGTCTTTTTATTTTATTTTTTCATGAAAAGGATGTTTCTTTTACCCCCCATTTTGATAAAAAATCTATTTCAGATTTATTTAATTACTGATAATTATTTTACCTTAATCTTATTTCTTTATCTTAGTAAGATTTTTTTCTTCTTATGTTGTCTAGTTATATAGTTAAAATTTGCATGTTATTCAGCCGTAGACATATTCACATATTTTATTCTGGTGTACTTATAAGTTTAGTGATTTTAAATTTTACCGTAATTTTTTTAAATAAATACTTAAAATTATATATAATTTTATGAAAGAAATTATCTAATTTTTTTTCAAAAAAGTACCTTTAAATGTTTTGTTTCTCATAGTTTTCAGTTTAAAATATTAAAAAAAATCTCTCAAGTTGTTTGTAAATTAATCCTTTATTTTAGATAACTTTTTTTTAAAAAAAAATTATATACAGAGATTGTCCTTTAGCTTGCCTTTAATTATTTTTCAAATGCTTAAAATGTTTCTGTTATTCTGATAATGATTTAGAATTACTGGGCAAAATATACACATTCGATAGTAAAAGAGAGTAATTTAAAAATTGGATCAAATTCAGTTATTACATAATATTACACATTTCGATGAATTTCAACTGTAGTGAGTGCCTTTTCAAAACTCAAAGTGCCCTTTTTTGTGAGGAAGCACCCTTACCTTTTTTTTTTTATTCCTTGGGATAACTCTGTCTTTACATTGTTTACCTTTAATAAAACCTTCTCAATATATTTTAATCAACCACTAATCACAAAAAATGGAATTTTAAATTGCTGCACAATTGACATGATCCAAAATTTGTCACTGTGACATCAGTTTTCCCAGATGTAATGCACACTTTCTTCATTTTTCATGTTAAGTATGTACCCATAGATGTCAATTTGCTCCGCTTTGTAAAAAAAGTATTTTTTAGTTGCAGCATAGTTTAAATTATTTTTAGTTTAGTAAATTTGCTTTTAATTTATTTTTCCACCACTACATATAAAAATTTCAAAGCCCCATATAAAATTAAACTTTGTTACAGCTATCTCATGATAAGATTTCGAAAATTAGCAAAATTATCTCTTATTCTGCAAGTTATAATTTGTTAAGCATTTATAAAAACTTTTGCAGAAAATAAAGCAGTTGGCATCCCTGTAAAGCAGCGTATCTCAGTTTTACGTTAAAACCTTCATGCATTTTGCTGTCTGTAAATAAAGAGATTCTTTACAGACATAATTTAATGATTGAGGAATTCTATGTGCATTAAAAATTTATGTTTTTAGTTGCTTCTTTAAAATGAGACAATTATTTGAATGTTGTATAAAGAATGAAATAGTTACGGTACTGTTAATGGTAAGGAAGAAGAAAGCATAGTAAGAAACACAGAAACACTTGTATCATTTCCTAAAATTTTACCCAAATAAATGCAAAAAAAAACAAACATCATTCAGAGAGTCTATAAGAGAGCAGAGACTATGAAAGACTAAAACTTTAATACAGAGATGAAAAATAATAAAATAAAATACACTAATTTTATCAACATTTTAGATACATGATAGTATAAATCTAACATTCTTCCTTTTAATCTGCTTAACGCAACACTTTATTAGTTGCATTTTTTTTGCAGCGTATTTAAAACAACAGAAAAGGAATTGAATATATATATATATATATATATATATTAAATATGTAACTTAAGCCATTTGTAATTTCAAAATTATCATTCATTATTTATATTCTGAAATAAAATAATAAAAACCACACTATATAATTATAAAGTTACATATTTACATTTGAACTGAGTGGAAATTTAAACTTAAAATTTTTTCCCCTTACAATAGTNACCGATTCTGTGCGTCGTATAAACGATATATTTTTACATTAAAATGAATAGGAATGATTTGGGACCACACTAAAACGTCGTATAAATGTAAACGTCGTATAAGTGATCGTCGTATAAACGATGCTCCACTGTATATATATATATATAGTATGTAGGTTTAAAAAATGTTCATTCCGTTTTATGAAGTTAAACCAGTGGTCGAAAAAACGACATAATTTTTTTTTGTTACATACTACTGCTTTATTGCAAATGCGGCTTAACTACGGCTACTTTTTTAACATTTAGTGACTACAGACAACTTTTGAAATGGAACCACTACTTTTAGGAAATTGCAGGAGAACTTAATTTTGCATCCATGCTCAAAATGGTTTTGAATAAAAGAAATAAAAAAAAATTGGCTTATTTAAACATAAGGAATTATTAATTCTGTGATTATTTTTACAATGTCTTTGGTGCCAAGCCTTTAATTCTAGGTAACTAAACATTTGTTTAGTGGGCCAATTTGCCAATTTTTTTTAAACATTTGTCTTATAGACTAACAAGTTTTGCCAGTGTTTCAAAGCTCTGTTTCTGCACTAAACTGCATTGGAACTCAGTATTTAATAGTTACATATAGATTGTCATCTCAAAAATTTTAGTACTTTCATGAGTGTTTTAGGCATTAAGAGTCTTCCTTAATAAATAAATACTACTAATACTAACATTTGAGCTGTGGTGACTCAGGGATAGAGAGAGAGGATGAGGTGAACCAGGTGCGAATCCAGATCCACCAACCACAGTGCTGACGTAAAATATCCTCAGTGGTAGATGGATCATGGGTTAGAGTCCCCTTGCCGTCAAGCTAACTGTGTGAGGCTTTCATGATTTTCTTTTCCACGTAACGCTAATGCAGGTTAGTTCCATCAACAAAGTCCTCCGCGAAAGCAAATTTCTTCCAATACCTGATCTAAAATTCCCTTGTCTTCTGGATTGGGTTCAAAATTACAAGGCTACGGAATTGAACTTCAATGGTCCTAAATCCAAAATTGAGTTGGTTGTTTAACTACGGTTATAATACTAACATTTAAATCAATACTAAAATGAATGGGACACATTTTAGAGATTCCCTTGAGTTAAAAATTAACTAGCTTTTTGCCAACCCTGAGTTAAGATATATGCATGCTGAGATAATTGTTTTGATTTACAGCAACAACACCAGTGCCCACAACTACCACCACAACTCCTGCACCCACTTTAGAACCTGGAGCTTGCATTTATGGTTGGACTGACTGGATCAACAATCACTCTCCTAATAATCGAGGGGACTTTGAGAGCATCCAGAAATCAAGAATTAGTCATGTATTTTGTGCCAATGACATGATAACGGGAATAGAGTGCCGTCGTGTGGGTGATAGGAACAGTGGCTCTTACCAGCGCACGGTCACTTGCGATTTGCATACTGGATTGGTATGCGTTCAAGAGAGACTTAATTTGGAGGAGGAGTGCTGGGATTATGAAGTGAGATTCTTCTGTGATTGCCCAACAGTAGCACCCATTACCGGTAAGAAATGAAAATTAATACCGGTAAATTTTTTTTATGTTGAATTGAAATGCAATCATTTTTTAAATCATTGCATGTGAAACAGAATGTTTATTTATATGCTCCTGTTACTAATTTCCAATTCTTAATTGATTTACAGCAAATGTTTGTCTCGTTGGAAAGAGGCAATACAGCTCTAATTCTTAGCTAATCACAAACTGATCTGAAGAGTTAAAATGCAAATTCAACACGTTAAATGTTTTGCATAAATACATAATAAACAGTCTCTTCTTAAAAGGCTGAATTATATATTTAAAAGAAACTTTTTTTTCAAGTTGGTTGTAATCCAATATACAAAATGAAGCTGTTAGAAACAAATGAAAAAGAAATTAAAGTCAAATTCAAACTGAGGAAAACGCTAAAGTAGTGTATGTCTGAAGTTTTCTTTTAATGCATATAAATTTATAAAGTAAAATTAAAGTTAAGTTCAAAAAGGAAGGCAAAACAGTACTTCTTCAAAGCATGCTGGAGCTTTTCTGTGAATTACTGTTTAACAAAACAAAATTATAATTTATGCCGTGATACTCCAAGTGCGAAATGCATGAAGAGAAAAAAAAATTCTCCTCATAAGTTTCCAATTGAAATATTTATTTTAAAATAAGTTTTCTGATCTTTATATTAATTTATATCATTTAACTCGCTTCAAGTGACACATAATATAAGCATAATTATACACATATAAGCATAATGTGACATATTAGCATAAATGAATTTCAGAAACAGTTCCACCCACAACAAGACCGGTTCATGAACCATGTGCATACTGGTCTAAATGGATCAATGAGCATCATCCTTCGACAACAAAAGCAACAACAAAAGGAGGAGGGAAAAGGAAAGGAGATACTGAAAAAGCAATGCTTCTAAAATTACAGAGAGAATACCAGTTCTGTTTGGAAGTAAGATTCTCCCACTTTTTATGCCATAACTCAAAATAACCTAATTTTGAGTTATGATAACTACTGTTTATTTTCGCAATGGGACATAGTGCAACATAGGCAGCTTGTTGGTGAGCTTTTTATTCTAGATTTAGCTCAAAGTGTTCAAGAAAATAGACATAGTTATTTAAGAAAATGGGCATTATTTAAGAAAATGACCATAGTATTTTATTATTTGATTCTGTTTTTCAAATTTCTCTGAGGAAATTTTTTTTCTTCAAACTACTGGAGGATCTAAGTAAATTCATAATGCTGTATCGTCAATTTGCATAAATTACTTAGTACATTTTTTTAAAATTAGTTTTTTTTAAAGATGACTTTAAAAGTCAATAGTTGTTTTTACAAGGTTGTAACGAGTTCTATAAGTTTGTAATAGTTGTACTATAATAGTTACCAGAGTAAGAACTCTCCAGTGAGTTAATATTGCAATTTACTCTGTTGTCATTTATTCTTCAGATTAAATGGCAACTTTTGACTCTTTGGTTGATAGACTAAAATACGACTATCTGCAACTATTTTCTGGCTAAGACAACTATGGAAAATTTTTAGTCTGAAAAGGCTGTAAAAGCAACTATTTTTTGTTTATTAGGAGACTTTTTCTGTACTAGCGTTTGTTGTTAGCATAAATTGGGTTGACGACCTGCAGACAGAGGGAGCTTCTGAATGTAATGATTTTTTTTCCTTAAAAAATAAAAAAATTTGAAAATTTCGAATTGCAAATTTGAGTTATCACTTTTTAATGCACTCAATTTGCACAAGGCTATTTTGTTTCTCAATCTCTTTTTCAACGGTTATTGCTACAAAATTCTGCATAATTTTAAAAAACTTAATTTTTTATACGATATTACAATGGGTGTATTTCGAATTTGAGTAGTCACTTTTCACAATATACACTACCGTTCAAAAGTTTGCGAAAATTTTGATATCTTCAAAGAAAATGTCTAAATTCAAATGTTCATAGAACTGCGAAAAATCATTCAAATTGCATGAGAATTTGATATGTTCTAAAGTGAACCCTCTACAGTTAGTTACATATGATCAAATTGCAATACTTTGTTTTTTGCGAACTGAATCCAGCTTTTCATCACGGATTGTTTTTATGATGAAAAAATTTCTGTACTTTCTGTTAATAGAAAATAGTTATTTAAACCGTTATATGTAAGCCCTCAAAATTTCAGATCAATTCGATTTTTTTTTGGCGAATTTGTAGAATTTTGAAAAACATGTGTACTTTTCTCGATTTTTGAGCATTCCACATATGCGGTCTTTTGGTCTATACATCTTCTACCAAAGAACTTTTTAATTTTAATGCTTTCTATACTTTCAAATAATTAATATTGATTATAAAATAAATATTCTTATTAATTATTGTAATTATTGTTATTACAAAGAATTTATTATGAATATAATTAAAACAATATCTCAGGGATGTCACATTTCATCGAAAATTTGTTTGTTCTTGCAAACGATGCTCTGATATTTCGAATCGAAATCAGTTATGGAACATTTTACAACAGGAATGGAACTCAATATCACTTGAAGTGATTAATGGATTGTTAGAACGAAAGCCACGCATATGTTAGGCTATAATAAAAGCAAAAGGTGGATGGTTCGAGGAATCTAAGATTTAAATGTTAATTTATTTAATTACAAAATACGAATAAGAATATGTTAAATATTTGACCTGTTGTAAATAAAATAGTTTA